CAAGTGGCCAAGAAGAATTCAGGAGGCCGTCCAACCCGAGGCATTTGCCCTTGGCCATTGCCTTGGCGGCTCGTAAGATTTCTGGTTCCTCCATAGGCTTGTCTAGTTCTCTACTAGCAGCCACATATATGCACTTTGTCGTGTCGTTCCAGAAGGTGGATATCTCTGTCATGTCGAAGGAGAGGGGGTCGAAGGGGCGACGTGTGGTAACAATATCTCTATAATAGTCTAGGGCATAGCTACACATCTGAATAGTGTCTGAAACTAGAGGAGCAGAGACATTAAAGGGGTGGGCAAGTTCTCTAATCAAGGATTTGGATTGTCGTTGGAGAAGGGAGCGAAAGGTCAGCTTAGTCATCCTATCGTATCCAATTATTCCCCTAAGTTTCAAAAGTTCGATCCATTCGGATTGTTTATGTATTTCTAATGTCTCTAACTGAATTAGAGCATCTTTCCGGATACCAGACCAGTGGAAGCTTGAGAATGGGTCCTTATCCATTTCTGACTCTGCTTGGGCTATAAGTTTGGTTAAAAAGTTTTCCTTCCATTTCCGCTTTGCTGCCTTCATTCTTGGAAGGTCATCAACGTCTGTCTTACAATGGCGATACCTGTGTCGGCCCCGAGTGTCAGATCTGGGAATAGATCCTTGGCTAGCATCCATTTTGACATATGCGTGTTAACCCATTCCAAGATGTCGGGATCTTTCAGGTGGTTAATATTTAAAAGGAAGGGTGGGCGGTGTCTATCAATGGTATCCTTGGGGTCCTTGGGGAGAATATCAAATAGGACTGGATGGCGGTCGGATATAGTGTCAGGGCTCACATCACACCACATACTCCGATCCCAAGGCGTTCCCCTTACCAAGAAAAAATCTAACCGCTTTCTGGGTGCCTTAGAGGTAGGGGTTGGGGGGGGGGCATACCATCTATACCCATTTGCATCCGGATTGAAGATCATGAAGACATCTACCAGATTCAAGGATTCACAAAAGGAGGTGAGCATCAACGAATCTGTCCTAAGGGGTTTATTTACTAGGGAATTGAGACCTGGATTAAACACTGTGTTTCCGTCTGCACAAAGGATGAGGTTGTCTACGTCGGGTAAATAACTTGAAAGATTTGCAAAAAATTCCAAGCGTATCGGCTATTCCACCGGGGCGTAGACTATCATCACCGCCCAGTATTCTGAGTCCACTGAGAATATCATCCAAGCCCAGCGACCGTCTGCATCATGAAGTTGATCTGTGATTTGAATATCTAAGTCCTTATTAATAAGAATGACAACGCCTCCCTTCGAGCCAATCGCCGGTGACCAAAGTTCCGGCCCATCCCACTAATGTTGGATGGCCGCAATTTTATCCTGGTTCAGCTCGTTTCCTGTAAACAGGCGATTTGCACATTTTGTGTATGGATCCAAGTTTTAAATCTCGGTTTTTTTTTTTTTTTTTCAGTATCCCCAAATCCGCGGACATTCCAGCACAACAGTTCGATTCTACTACTTGGTAGAACCATGACCAGAGCCCTTGCTGCGTGGGATTTGGATTTGGCCTGTTACCGGTTTCTTAAGAGGTAACCCTCTGCCTCGCTGACGAGGGACATTCTCATCTTGTGTTGGGGGAAGAGAGCCCTCAGAACCCCCAGGGTTAAGACACGCAATAAATTGTTCTGATGAGAAGCCCTCCACTGCATCTGTGTGGTGCAACCACTCAGACACGGCTTGTGCAGACAAACCCTCCGGTAACTTAATCTCCTTCAGTGTGTCTGCATTCGTGTCTAGACAATCGGAGCCAGTAAACTTCGTGCTGCTTCTGTATCCTCCATATTGGGCCGAAAAGCCAAGCTGGCAATATGTAGGATTATCTTGCTTCTCTGTGTGTTAAGAGCAATGTGTCGACCTCTTTTGGGTTCAGGCAAAAAAACACAAGAACCTCTGACACGTAAGATTTGCTTCTTCGCCTCTGAGAGCCAGAGGGTGTCAGGGGGAGGTCCTACAACTGGGATTGCTGGTAGGGATAGCGTTTCATCCTTATCAATATGGGTTAGCACCATCGGTCTGTAAGCAGAGAAGGTGATTATGAAAGGAATAATAAATTCCTTTGGATGACCCTTCTCTTTATCCTCCTTCTGCAAGGTTTGCACAGGGCAAGAGATCTTCAGCAGGTGTTTGGCCGTATTAGTTCTTTCCTTGGGGGATCACCTCTTCTCTTGGGCTACGCCGTCGGGGTTGTAGGGAGGATATTCCTTATCCTGAGGCGTTGCCCTTAGGAAGGGGTTTCTTCCTGGACGCCCGTGGTTTCGTATGGAGGGAAGCCTTACAGGGAGGTGGGGGAGACCCTTCCTCCTGGATTGACCCCTCTTTGGTAGCAGGGGTAACGTTGAGGCTTTGGCTATCCACCTAATAGAAATCCTCATTGTCAGATTTCGTATAAAAACAGCCTCCAGTTTCACGTATCCATCTGGCCCAAGTGGTTTTTTAGAAAGTTCCCAGCATTTGTCGGTCGAACGTTCCAACGTTTTGCTCGAAGGCATAGGCCCTCACCACGTGGTTCGCCAAACTCCAAGATTTTAAATGAATGTATAAGACGCGTATACCGTCCCGGTTCACTGAGAATGTCGTGGTTGACGAGTGGTACGGCGAGGCCCAACATTTTAGACGAATGTATCAGACCTTCATATTGTCACGGATCATTCAGAATTGCATGGTTTGGTTTGGCGAGTGGTACGGCGAGCCATTTGAAACCGACATCGAAACATCATGAACTGCCATCGAAACCTCAGGACTGCCGTTTTTTTTCTCCCCCCCCCCCCCCCCCCCCCCCCCAACTGGACCGTCAATACAACAATCAGAAATAAAAGGATATAAAATTCCTATCCCCTACCAGGTTGCATCACATCTTAATCTGGGAGCCTTACCAAGTGTTCGCTTACAGGTCGGCCCTGTTAAGCCAGACCTGCGAGTAGCTGATCTAGCACAACAACACAGCTACTCCCGTCCTACCTTCTATCCCCTTCTAATCCCCACTACTACTCAAGCCTATAGTCGGCTCTCTAACTTCAATTACCAATCCTTCCCTAACCACGGGCCTATCTGTAACTTCTCATCATCTGTAACCATCGTCAGTCGGTTATCAATTGCCCAAGTGTTCCGGAACCACCATTTGCCGTTTGACTGCCAATCTGCCTGAATCATCCTTCTCAGGTTGGTCAAGACCAGCTTCTGAGCCTTCTCTGCCTGCCAGTATTCAGTCCTAAACAGAGCATCATTCCTCTCTCTCCAGATCACTTCCATGATAATTCCTCTGCAGGTTTGGGCTACGTATCCCCATCCACTCCCGAAGACCTTCCAAACTTCCGACTTCCCTGTGAAGATCCACAGCTCCAACCACTCTGATGATAACTATTTCCTCAGACTTGACAAGTTCTTCCAGTGACGGCGCCACCACTGCCATAGTCTTCTAGAAAACGGACAATGTAACCATAGGTGTGGAGTAGTCTCCCAGGCCCATCTGCATCTTGGGCAAGTCTGCGAGACCTCCATCCGTCTTGAGGCCAACCAATTGGCTGACGTCGTAACCTGTAAAGATTGTAACCACAGTAAGGCTGCTACCTTCTGGTTCGTCATTTTCTTTATTTGATTCCATAGCACCCGCAGATCAGTTGGGAGCATTACCTTAGGACAGTAGTTATCCCATCTCCTGGTTGCCAATATCAGGGGGGATTTAGTCAGTCTTCCTCTTAATTGGTCCCTGCCCACCTTTGTCACGTAAAAGGCAATTGGGACTAGATTTTTCTCCTGAGTGGCCTCCTGAGTAGTCTCCTTCCAACCATATGTATATGGTTCAACTTTCTTTGGAAAGAAGGACATTCTACCTTGGCAATGTTCTTTTCCTTGCCTGTCTTTTGAGACCCATACTCTTACCTTCTCTGATTCTCTTGCCAAGGTCACTAACTTGTCCTCTATATACAACAGTTTTCTAGCTGAAATTCGACAGTCTTCATTGCTCTGCACCGATCTCCACACCTGAAGGACTGCCGTCTTTCCCCTAACTCGACGCACCCTCATTTTGGCTGTGTACCGGACAGGAAAGATCGCCTTTATACAGTCGGCAACATTATGCGTTGCGCTCCGGGAAAGAGGGTAATCCAAAAGTTGTTGACGGAGTCCAGAAGTCGCCAACTGAGTCCAGAAGTCGCGGACCACCAATCGAAGACGGTCGTTGCTGAAGTAAGGTCATACTCCCAGCAGCACCACCTTGCACGTATCTGACCGCATTTAAGGCATAAAGCTATATGCATCTGGCCGCTTTTCCGTCCAGGTGTAAGTAATACAGTGCTATAGTGTTGAGTACACCCTGTTCCGCGGGCAAGGTCCCCCTTGCACCCATCAAGAGATCCAGGCCATTGATCCTAGCTTATCTACGCTCACCATCTGTTAATTCGTGCAAGTGGGACCAAGCCCCGGATCGACGAGCGCCTAGCGAAGCACACAATTGATTACGTCGGTTCCGAACCAAACTTTCGAGCTGTTTTTTGCGACGCAGTGCTCACCTCACATACCAAAAGACGCTTAGTTCCTAACCGCATCAACGGAACATATAAATAGAGGCCTGATGTCTATTCTCTTCTGTTCCTCAGCGAGTCCGTCGAGTCAACATTTGACTCATTTTTATATATATATCGTCATATATATATTTTTTAACCAAAAACAATTTATATTCGAACAAATGAGTAGAGGCCGGGTTACTCACAATTCAACCCGGAGTTATCCCGGCAGCATCAGCCGGTTTAGCTTCAGCACTACAGCCTTTGATATAATCAAGAAAACTGCCTAAAAGCCTAAACCAGACATTTTACCGACAAACCGGACTGAAAGGGTGGTTCCTATAGAGATTGAAACATTCCAAATTCACAAGTCAAAGGTGACGAGTTGATTTCCGCTTCCCAAGTTTCCGTACACCTCGCGTACGGACCCGCTCTTTCTCTTTGCTTTCGACTTCCGCTCGGAGGTGAAAAGGCTGTCCGCCTATCGTTACCTCGCTCTCCTCACTCCTACTCCTCTGTAGCTCTGCACCCACTCTCCTTCTCCGTTCCTCCGCACCTCCCTTCCACCTCCGCTCCTCGGCGCCTATCTCCGTGCACCATGGCGTTGTCTCCGTTCTTCTCTGGAGATTCGAGTTTGTGGGCGATGCCGGATTCCATGAGGCAGATGATGTCGCTGGGCGACGAGATGTTCCGCATGCTGGACGAGCCCGGCCGCACGTTCGTCAGGGAATCGCGTGCCATGGCCAACACCGCGGTGGACGTGAAGGAGACGCCGACGGCGTATCAGTTCGTGGCCGACTTGCCGGGACTCAGTCGCGAGGAGGTGAAGGTGCAGCTGGAGAACGGCAACACGCTGGTCATCAGCGGCGAGCGCCATCGCGAGACGAAGACGGGAGAGGCTGCTGGCGACAAGTACCACCGCATCGAACGCAGCACGGGCAAGTTCATGCGCCGATTCACCCTGCCTGACAACGCGGAACTCGACAAACTTGGCGCGCAGTGCAAAGATGGCGTACTCACCGTGACGGTGCCCAAGATGCCGCCGAAGGAACCGGAGAAGCCCAAAGTCTTCGACGTCCAGATCAGCTAGACTAGGGATCCCTCCAGTTGAAATGCCTCGCTCAATCCGAGAGTTGTCAACGTGCATGGCTACCTAAGAATTACGGACGTGGAGGGAAATGCTCGTGTCGAGCAAATACGTATGCACGTGTGCGTGTGTGTGTGTGTGTGTGTGTGTGTGTGTGTGTGTGTGTGTGTGTGTGCGTGTGTGTGTGTGTGTGTGTGTGAGAGAGAGAGAGAGAGTGTTTCAGAGTGTTTCAGTGTGTGTGTGTGTGTGTGTGTGTGT